GGTGGAGGGGTCGCCTGCACCGCTCAGCAGAGGGCGGCACGTCCTCTGCGCCGATGGCCCCGCTGAGCTGCTTTGGTTCCTGACCCGTGCAGAGCGCGGACCCCGAGGTCACAGGCCTGGGGTCACACCAGGATGGGCAGGGAGAAACCAGAGCGCCCATGGCCCCCACCCAGAGCAGGCTGCCTGTCCCGCGGAGCTTCCTGATCGATGGGGTTGGCGTGGTCTCCGCACGCCAGTTCCACGGACAGGCCGCAGACGGCAGGCAGCGCAGCAGGGCTGTCTCGGGGTCCTTCTCGCTCCCTTCCGAGAAAGTCAGCGTTGTGGGCGGCTTGGCTTCATCAGGAGAGTTGCATCGTGTCCCAGACCGGGCCGCTCCATGCGGGCGGGTGGGTGCGCGGTTGCCCCTGCGGACCCTTGGGGCAGGTGAGGCCAGAGATGCCCGTGGGCTGCCGGCAGCCACCGCCTGTGCTCGGGACGTGGCCCCCTCCCCGGACGTCGCGAGCAGTGGGAATTCTGGAGCGTGTTGTCATCAACGACTGGCTGCGCGTTGACCGAAGCTGAATTGTGAAAGGCTTTAATTGGGGGGTCTTTCTCCTTTGTTTCTTACTTTGTAGTCGAAGGAATGCTCTGCGGGCATTCACACAGTCCCTCCTGACCCCCAGCAGAGGGTCACTCGCTGCCAGGCACGGTCGCTGTCCACCTCAGGCTGGCCTGTCAGAGCCGCAGGTTCTGAGCCAGCAGAGTCCAAGCCGACGAGGTTACGTTGTTGGTTTGGGGCGTGATTTCTGGCTGGCAGGCCCCGGTTGTGAGGCTTGGGTAGGCACGGAGTTGCTGCCAGCCCAGCCGAGGCAGACCCCGCGGAGGCCTCTGTGAGAAGAGGGGGGCCCTGCTGTGGCAGCAGTGGGAGCCCGCGGGTGGAGCGCGTGCTGCGGGAACAGCCTGCCACCCGGGCCTCCAGCTGCTTTGCCAGGGGTCTCAGCTCAGCTGCGACCACATAGCGGCCATCTGTGGTTTGTGTTTTAAGAGACGTGTAGCACTTTGGAAGGGCACTTCTGGTTTTGTTTGAAAGAAACTCACTTGGGGCAGTTTAGCTTCCTGAAGAGATGGAGGCTGGGGGCAGTTTTTGGACAGTTTGCGGAAGGCGGTGCTTGGTCCTATGGTCCCTGGCGCCGGGTTCGCACCAGGGCTTTGCGTGTGGGTGCTGTTAGCACGCTCACGGAAGCGTCTCGTTACGGGAGTCACGAGTGTGCTCCTGGGGCCCCAAGCCCTTCTGTGGACCAAGGTGAAGCCCTTTCCGCTGTGACAGTTGGCGTCGTCCGCCTTCTCCGCTGCATTGGCGTTTGACCGGTGGTGGTGCAGAAACCAGTCAGGGCGGTGGCGTCAGACCACCCTCGTGTCCCCCCGGCCTGTGCGCGCCGACCTCCCTTTCTGAGGCGGGGAGGCCGCTTCGTCAGACCTCGGCCTGCGGCGTCCCTCTTTCTCGTGCGCCCCGGGAGGAAGGGGCAAGGACGCCAGGTGTCATCTCCAGGGGCCCTTGTACGTGGGAGGGCAGCCGAGGGACTGGAGCTTCCAGACCGAGAGTCGGACAGGTGTTTCCTTGAGGGTGAAGGATACGAGTCTTCGGAAAGCAGCTGGTAGCGTCTGTTGCTGGTGACAGAATTCCAGCTCTCAGATGAGGGTTCCGCTTCTGAAAAGCCGGAGTCTGCCATCCTCAGACCTCTCGATGACTGCCCCGCGGTGAGGCTGTTGGCCGCGGGTGCCAGCATTACTGCGTTAGCACGCGCCTGTGCTGTCCTCGTCACCTGGTGGGACGCGCTGCCCTTGGACCGGCGTCAGGCGGCAGTCCTGGGCCGTGCGGTTTCTGTCTCCACGTGGCCGCTAATAACGCTTCTGCGTGCCTGGCTCCAGGCCTGGACGGGGAGCAGAGAACACCTGTGGCGACCTGCAAAGCGCCCTGTGTGTGTTTGGGGAATAGCGGTGTGGTCTGCGCAAACAGAAGTTGTCTGGGGTCCGAGTTTTTCAGGGTGTAAAGAGGCCCCGAGACCCAAAAGCTGGAGCGTCGCCTTCCGGGAGCCGCCCCATTCCTGGGCCCCTGGGCTGCCCGAGGGGCGCGCGGGCTCCGCTGCTGACAGCGGCTGGGCTCTCGGCCTCTGCTGAGCGGGACGCGGAGTGGATTTCCGCTGAGGAAAAGCTGATCCTCAGAGATGCAGAAAGGTAATTTTTAATTCTTCCAGTGCATTCAGTGTTCACCTACAGTTTTTTTTATCACTTCCCAGTTTTGGGGATGCCCACCCTTTTTCCTTGGGGAAAGCGGTTATCACTGTGATGGGAATGCAGGTTCACGACCACAGTCCTCCCGTAAGAGGCCGTGGTGCTCAGGGTCACACGGTCCGAGTCGTGTTAGGAACGTGGTGCTTGGTTACAGGTGTGTTTCTTTTGTCTTCATGTGCGTGAGCTGAAATTTCACATTGGGGTTTTTTCTGTCGCCCTGGCTGGTGGGGCTCAGTCGACTGAGCGCCGGCCTGCTCGCCCGTCGGGGCGCAGGCCTTGGCTGCGGGCCAGGTCCCCAGTGGCGGGCGCGTGAGAGGCAACCACACGTTGACGTTTCTCTCCCTCTTTTTCTCCCTCCTTTCCCCTGTCTCTAAAAATAAATAAAATCTTTTTAAAAAGTTTTTGTGTTGAAATTGGGGAAAGTCAGTTTTGGAAATATAAAAAAGTCCAAATGAATCTATCTGAAATGATCTGATCCATTTTGAATGTGGACTTTATCTCGTTCCACTCCACAGAAATAGTTAAATTTTTCTTTTCTGATGAATTTTCCAGCACTCAGAACATAATGTTTATTTTTCAGAGTGACATAAATTTATTTTTTATTCCTGATAACATCTTAGGTTTTGTTCTTGGGGTCATGAAATACACAAGTAAGGTTTATTTTCCGTTTCTTCTGAGAAATCAAGTCTCTGAGCCTTTGGATTTGTCCCTTTCAAGAGATTTGGTGGCTGTGATGGGCTGAAGCAGTCACTGTCGCTTTAAAAGGAGGAGCTTCAGAATGTTTGTCACTGTCGCTTTAAAAGGAGGGGCTTCAGAATGTTTGTCATTGTCCTGGGTCACTAAGGAGACCACAGTTGTGGAGGCAGTTGGAGTGAGGCAGGTGGGCCTGCTGGGCTGGGCTCTGGGGGGGCGCCGGCCCCTGGGAGGTGGGTCAAACGCGGGGGCCGTTCCGGAGTCTGGCTGGCAGCACTGCCCACCCCTCCCCACCGGCCACGGCGGGGGCGGCGGGCGGCGGCGGGGGGTGCAGCCAGTGAGGTCTGCTTGGCCCGGCCGCCCGGGGAGAGCAGTGTCCATCACGCACGGGCGGCCAGTCCCACGCTGCTGCACCTCAGTGACCGGAGGCTTCCGAAATCTTTCTCAGGTGTTTAACCAAAGTGGTGGCATAGGAGCAGTTTGAAACATTTCTAAATATTGACAGGTATTTGATTTTGTTGCTTAGCCCTTTCTCATTGTGTTTGTGTTCTTTTCTGCTGGGCTTGGTGGGCTGAGCCCGCCTGGGCGGCAGGGCCTGCGTCCCCCGGCCCCTCCTCCAGCCCCCCTGCCCCCCCCAGCCCCAGGCCGTCGTCGCGGCGCTGGCTCTTCAGTGCGGCCTGCACTGCGGCCGCTGAAGGTGTGTGACCCGCCTGCCTCCTTCCTTCCTTCCTTCCTTCCTTCCTTCCTTCCTTCCTTCCTTCCTTCCAGGGCTCCGTGGGCGCCGTTTCCGGGTTGCTGGTGGGCTGCGGCCGCAGGCGGCGGTCTCGCGGCCTGGCCGTTGGCTTGGAGCAAGTGCTGCCGCCGCCAGGCTGGCTGTTGCGCTGAGGCCCTCGGGAGGTTCCAAGTGCGTGGTGTCGCAGGTAACAGGCCGGGGTGGTGAATGTCCTCCACTGAACCTGGATGGTTTGAAGTTGTGTTTTCTGTTTCCGAAGTGGCCCTATATGCAAAGGGAGTGATAGAATGTAACATTCGTGTTCATTTGAAACATTCTAAACTTTCAAAAAGTTTTAGATGAATATGGAAGAGGATGCGGTAAGAATTTTCCTTTTTCCTTTTTCCAAACTTTTATTTGTGTGCTTTCAGTTGAAAAAGATAACTTACACAGGTTTCTTTTTTTTTTTTTTTTTGGTGTTGATAGCGTACAAAAAAATGAAAGAGACTTGACCCATTAAGCTCAAACTGGAAATTTGACCCATTCATTGTAAATAAGACCCATTAGCTCAAACTGGAAAAAATAACAATTTGATTCAGAGCTTACTCCGTCCGTTACTTTGTTAGTGTGTGAATCCTGACGTAGTCCGGGCACTCTGTGGGGAGGGCACTTTGCAGAGGAGAACGCTTCCTGCCAAAAACTGCGCTGCGGGCCGCCCGGGCCCCCTGCCAGCCATGCGGGCATGGCGGGGGGCGGGGGGCGGGGCGGGGGGGGCCCAGGCAGGCCCCTGGTGGAAGCCGAGGCCGCCCTGGGACAGCCGTGGCCTGGCCCTCCTGCAGGGCAGCTGCCAGATGTGCTGCAAGTTCGCTTGCAGGGGTAAAAACACCACCCCTGAGGGCCCGAGCTCTAGGCCAGACGGGCCCACAGCCACAGGGCCGGTGGCACCAGAGCCGGGAGGAGTGGCCGTGTCTCGGGGGCGGACGTGCTGGTCTCGCGGGGAAGCTTCCGGCCCAGGGAGCCGGCAGTGCGGTGTGACTTGCTCGAGGCCGCCAGCCAGAGCACTCTGCCTGGGAGCCACCAGAAGCGCCCCAGTTTAGTTCCACTGTCACCTTGGTGGCCAGCGAAGTGGCGGGGTCCTCCATGGCGCCTGGGCCGATGCCACAGCGGCTCCGCAGGCTCCTGAGGGGGCGGGGGGCCGAGTCCCTGGAGCGGGGTGTGCGGAGCCGCGCCGGAGACAGGTGAGGGGCGGACGGCGCTCGGCGGGAAGCAGAGGGGTTGGGCTGCGTGTGGTTTTGATTTGTGTGTGTTTTGTTTTGAAGGTCTCCGTTCTGTACCAGCCCTTTCCCTAGGATGGAACATAGCATAGTGTCCAGGTCGTCCCTGGCGGTTGAATGTCACTGAAGACTGAACAGCTTGGCAAAGAATTCGGAAGGTACAGACCAGCCTCCAGGCCTAACCGCTCTGAACGGGGGTCGTGTTTTCACAGGCGTGACCCGTCCGCAATCTGTGAGAAGCGGAGGGGGTCGGGGGGACAGGAAGGGAAAAGAAATGGGTCGGAGGTCTTTCCAAGCTTAAATAAGTGTCCCAGTATCTGCTGCTGCATGAAAACCACCCCTCCCCAAGTCCGTCCTTTTGTGTCTCCCAAGCCAGGTCTCAGGACTCTGGGCAGGACCGACACATCCCCCCCGCCCCCCGCCCCGAGGTCTCTCCAGCTGGGTGGTTGGACGTCTCCAGTGGCAGCGCAGGCCCCCAGAGCCCAGGGCAGGGGCAGCCAGCCCACTTGCCTGCTGGGCCCAGGGCTGGCACGGCGCGGTGCCCACCTGGCCCAGCGGGCAGAGCGGCCTGACTCTGGGAGTCAGGTGTGGGCTCTCCTCGCACCTACCACTGTGGGTCAGCAATGTGTCTCACTCCCTGTTATGTTAAACCTTGTTCGAGCACTGAAGTGGCAAGCTACAGACTCGCCAGCTTTGCTTTTATTTATTTAAAGGTCTTATTTAGTTTTAGAGAGAAGGGGAGGGAGGGAGAAAGGGAGAGAAACGTTGATGTGTGAGAGACACGTCAGTTGGTTGCCTCTTGCCCGCCCCCAACCGAGGACCCGGCCCGCAGCCCAGCCTCTCCGTTCACAGGCTGGCACTCAGTCCACTGAGCCACGCCAGCCAGGGCTGTTTCTCTTTTTAATTTTTGATATATAACAGTTTTCCTCGAGTTGCCTTGAATTACATCCTGTACCACACTCGAGGAACCCCTGGTCGCAGCGCCCTGCTCCCTCGCCAAGGAACGTAGTCTCGTTAACGTTGGTCGTGGTTTGGTTGCATTTCCCCATTAGGTATGGATGAGAAAGGTGACCCGAGCAATGAGGAAGCCCCCAAGGTCATCAAACCCACCAGTAAAGAGTTTAGGAAAACGTGGGGGTTTCGAAGGACCACCATTGCTAAACGAGAGGGCGCTGGGGACGCGGAGTTAGACTCTGTGGATCAGCAGCCCCAGCAGCAGCAGCAGAGCCTTTCCTTGCGACGCAGCGGGCGGCAGCCGAAGCGGACCGAGAGGGTGGAGGAGTTTCTCACGACGGTCCGGCGCAGAGCGCGGAAGACTCTGCCTGTGTCCCCCGAGGACCCCGGTGAGCCGACCTCCTGCCCAGTGACAGATGTGGAAACCGCTTCGGAGGGGAGCGTCGAGAGCACCTCTGACAGCAAAGGTGGGCCCAAGGCCAGCCCCCCGGGCGGCAAGGGACGCCTGGCTTCGTCTGCAGCGGCCAAAGGAGGGGACGGCGAGGATGGCACTTCTGACAGTGACAGCGATGGGCTGACCTTGAAAGAGCTTCAGAATCGCCTGCGAAGAAAGCGGGAACAAGAGCCAGCCGATCGGCCCCTGAAAGGGGCCCTGAGTCGCCTGAGGAAGAAGCGTCGGGAGGAGGACCCGACAGAAGCCGCTGACATGGAGACGGCAGATGCCGCGGAGAGCTCCCCGCCCGGCCAGCAAGAGCCCGCCGCCCAGCAGGCAGCGAGCGACGCCCGGGAGCGGGCCTCGGACGGGCGGGCGGCCCCCGGGCCCAGAGAGGGCGGCCCCAGAGGCTCCGCCAAGCACAAGCCCGAGAGCGAGGCGTACGACCCCAGCGCCTTGTACTGCATATGTCGCCAGCCTCACAACAACAGGTAGGCCGTGGGCCGGGGGGTGCTGGCCGCCCCGGGATTCGGGGGGGGGGGGGCTCGTGCTGAATGCAACGGGAGGGGCTTCCGTCCCATTTCATTTACAGCTGCAGGGCCGGGCTGAGAGAGCGGCTCGTGCCGTTGAAAAAGAGGACAAGTCGTTCTCAGAAAGGGCTCTGGAGCCACACGCCACCTGCGCTGCGGCTGCCCCTGGGCCCTCGGGGCTCTTCGCCGCCCGGGTCACTCCAGCCCCGGCATGTGGCCAGTGGCCAGCGTGCGAAGCGGCAGCCTAGGTCCCCACTGTCATCCCAGAGGCCTCGGGGCGCCGCTCTGGTGCTGCCAGGGGCCCGGGGTCTGGTGCACCGGGTGGGGAGGGCAGCGCTGCTCTTCCTCGTGGGCCCACTGGAGGAAGGGGGCAGGGGCCAGGAAGCCGGCAGCGCCCTCAGAGAGCTCCATGCGCGCAAGGTGGGGGCGCTTGCTTCAGGGCTCAGGGCGAGAATGGGGGCGCGGCATGTCCTCTGTCCTCTTCTCTCTCCTTTTCTGTTTGTATTTTTTGAGCAAGGTCAAAACTGACCTGGTTTATTAATTATATCTTCAGGTGAGTGTGCGTCTTCGTTTTCCATTGCCGGTTATTTTCTGACTGCAGGTTTATGATCTGCTGTGATCGATGTGAAGAATGGTTTCACGGCGACTGTGTGGGCATTTCGGAGGCGCGTGGGCGGCTCCTGGAGCGGAACGGGGAGGACTACATCTGCCCCAACTGCACCATCCTGCAGACGCAGGACGAGCCGCCGGCCGAGGGCCCCGGCCAGCCGGAGGCGCGGCTGCAGCCTGCCGACGCCGACGGCACGGACTGCACGAGCATGGGGACCATAGAGCAGAAGTCCAGCGAGGACCAGGGGATAAAGGGGAGGATTGAGAAGGCCGCAAACCCGAGCGGCAAGAAAAAGCTCAAGATCTTCCAGCCGGTGAGTCCTGCCTTCCGGGGCCAGGGAGTGGGGGGCGGCCGCACGGCGCGGACCCTGCACACAAGCCGCAAGCCCCCGGGGGCGCCTTCCTCCCTTTTGGAACAATCTGGGCTGCCCAGTCCGCGCGGCGCCTGGCGTCCCTGCTCAGGGTGGCTCTGTCCAGCCCCAGCACCATTCCTGGGGCTCGGCACGTTCCTCGGTGGACTCGTCCATCAGGGCGCCTCTCCTGCCATTTCCTAAGGGGCCTCGTGCGACGCGTCCCCCACCACCTCGGGGCTCGGGCGAGCAGACTTGTCCCCCCCACCGCCCCCGCCTGCACCATCCTGGTGGAGCGCGTGCTCTTCCTTGGGCCTCGCTGGAGCCGCCTGGGGAGGCGGTGGGTCCCATCACGCCCCCATGTGCCAGGTGTCTCCTCCATCCGCACTCCCGGCCGGGTGTCCGGCCCCTTCGGGGCTGTGATGCTTCCTCCTCCTTCTGCTGGGCTGTCAGCTTCTGTTGGGGCGCATGGGTGCCAGGGCTCTGCTTGGGTGTTATCCTGCTCCCAGCCTTCCTGCTACCGCTGGTGCGGTCAGCAGAGCTGGTGGGGCGGGCGCCCCAGCCGGAGCTGCCCCACCCCGCCTCTGGCCTGTTCTTTGGCAGGTGTCCAGCAGACAGAGGGCTGAGAGATGGCCATGTCGAGAGGCGGCTCTGCCGCTGCGCCCCGTGCTGTTAGCTGCGGGAGGGGCGGGGCCGGGGCTGCGCTGAGCGGGGCCGCCGCAATGGGTTTGCCGGCACTGGAGGGAAATGAGATACTGTTAACACCTGCGGTCGTGAGGCAGCGTTAACGGAAACCTAAATGAGTGGGGAAAGTCATCTTAATTCCACATCTTTTTCGTCGACATGTTTGAGACTAAGTTTAAATTTTATTTTGAATGAAGTTTGGATTCTATGGAGGAAAAACAACGACCTTAAACACTTGAGACGTAAAATTTTGCTCAAGTGCGTTTGAAGATGTGTTTGTGTGTTTAGTCTCGACCATCAGAATACAGTCTGCAATTAGAATCACAAGCCCCCGGCTCAGCTCGTGGGGCATGACAGACCGCGACAGACGTGGGCGGGAGAGCACGTGCTTCTCACGCTCAGCTTGGGTTCCTTCCATGAGGCGGAAGGGGGGCCCCCGCTCAGGCTCGCTGAGGGCAGAGCCCCTTTCGGAAGCACGTGCATGGGTCTGCGGGGGCGTCTCGGGCGGTCCTTGTGGCGTTGGTGGTTGATGCAGGCGCAGACTTACTGGGCGTCCTGGGGTCCCCCAGCAGCCTCGCCCTCCAAGCCCAGCCGCGGGGTCCCCTCAGCAGGGCTGCCTGCCTCCCCGTGGGCCGCGTGGCTGCTCTGCGTCAGAGCTGGTCCCTCAGGGGAGGTTTTTGCCCTTTAGTCAGACCCTTTTGGTTAATTCAGAACCACCGCATTTGGGGCCTTAATTACATCCGCAGAAATTCCTGCTCGTCCTCTAAGGGGACCTGAGCCCTGACTGGGGGTGTGAAATCGTGCCCCCCCGCGAAGGGACGCACCCTGGTGTCAGGAGGCGGGGGGCCCTGGGCCTCCCTTAGAGGTGCGTCCCGTGTGGGCGGCCTGGAGGTGGCGGTGGCGCGCGGGCCCTTACGTGGGGGTCGCTGTGCTGTGAGCACACGAAGGTGAGCTTTCGTTCACATTAGAAACACTTGACGTCTCTTGAATGAAACCTGCGTCCTCAGTGCTAGATGTTGCGATGCACAGAGTGCCTCGCCCGCAGGCCCTGCTGAGGCTGAAGTCGCACTCTCTGCCCTGCAGGTCGCAGAGGTCCCCGTCGCCGCGAAGTGCATCGGGCCCGGGTGCTCGAGCGTGGCGCAGCCCGACTCCGTCTACTGCAGCAGCGACTGCATCCTGAAGCACGCCGCCGCCACCATGAAGTCGCTGGGCGCGGGGAAGGAGCCCAGAGCCAAGCCCAAGGAGAAGGCCAAGGCCAGGCCAGAACGGATCATTCTTCCAAAGTGTAGCGTTCAGGTAGGTCGACCTAGACCGCCCCCCGCCTCGGCCTGAACAGTCGAAGCATCCGTGCGCCCGCATCTCAGCCCCGCCGGCCGGCTTGCCCACCGGTCCTGCCCTCAGAACGGCCAGTGAGCACAGACTCTTGCTCGCCTTTCTCCGCCCGGAAGCCGAGGGGGTGGCCGATAGGAGTGCAGTGAAGCGAGGTGGGCAGGGGCCGGGCCCTCGGGCACAACGGTCTCACCGAGACCTGGCTCTCCAAAGAGACCTCCGTGCCCGGTCTGCTCTTGGGCACCTGCGACTAGGGAAGGGCCAGGGTGTTGGAGACACAGCAGGCCCTCGCTTCCGGCTCCCGGCTGCCCTGGAGTCAGCTCGGGTGTGGCCGTGCGGCGACCCCTGTGGCAGTCGTGGCCAGCAGGCCTGGTGGGATTTTCGGTCCCCTGTGTAAATGCTCATTAGCCTTCCGAGGGCCTGAGGGTTAGAGCTGATGGCTTTCGGTCGGAACTGCTGAGCGGGGCAGGAGTGACTGTGCAGGGCGGGGACCGTGGGCCTGGGGGGCCCAGCCTGGCCCCTCCCCGTCCCTGCGCCCCCTGCGTGTGCCCCGTTTCACGGCTTGCTCAGGCGACGTGCTCAGTGCTACGCTGGCCCCCTCGTGCCTCGGCCTTCTCGCCGCTCGGGGGCTGAAGTCCCAGCCACTGGGACCGGTCAGGGTCGGCTGGTGACGAGGACTGCTGAGCCCCGGTGCTCGTGGGCGGGGGAGGGGCCCCGAGGGAGTCCTCGCCCTCGCTGGGAAAGGGGGCGGGCGAGGGTTCGGCTCTGACCTCCTTAATGATCGGGGTTTTACTGGCTATCCAGGCAGGCATTAAAGTCTCTTCTCTGCACAAGAGGCCGGCTCCAGACAGGAAGGAACCCGCCGCGAAGAAGGCAGTGGCAGCCCCCGCCCGGAGCGAGGGCCTCCCCGAGGAGACGCCCTGCGAGAGCACCACGCCGTCCTGGGCCAGCGACCACAATTACAATGCAGTGCAGCCGGAGCGGCCCGCTGCCCCGTGGCCGGCCCTGGTGTGTAAATGTATGTATCTCCTCGGGGTGGCCTCTGGACCCTTCCCTGTCCTCCTGGACGGCCGTCCACTCGGGCCTCTCCAGTGCTAGGCCGTGCAGCCGGGCTCAGGGCTGCACTGCCAGGATAGAAGCGAGTACCCACAGCCCCGCGGGCCTCCCTTGAGTAGTCTGTCTCCACAGAGCCCTGCAGACCTCGGTGCTGAGTGTGGTCCTTGCGGGGGGGTGCGGGGGGAGCCTGCTTTTCTTACCACCAGGCGCTGGTAAGTATCTGCTGTCACCCACAGAGTCCGATCAAGCAGGCGTGCCTGCCGACCCTCTGAGGCCATTTCCCACTCTTGCGGCAGGTGCCTTTCTGTCCCAGCCCCAGGGCACATGTGGCCGTCACCTCCTTTGTGTGTCGTGGGATCTCTTTCTGCAAAGTAGCGTTGCACTGATAGCTAATGGAAGTACAACTTCTGAGCGGACAGAAACTTGTCGTGTTCAGTCCACATAGCACACACCCACACAAACACACACTGCAGCGCTGCGGCCGCTCCCCGAGCCTCGCGAGTCCCAGGTAAGTGGGCGCTGGGTCTCCGGAAGCAGATGCCGCGGGGGCTGGCCTCCGACTCCTCCGGACGCCGGGCTGCCGGGTCACGCGCCACCGCCGCCTCCAGCGAGGGGATCAAGGTATTGCCCGTGCACCTTTGAAATCCCAGATTCAGTTATGCAACGGAATCTTTTTGTTTCTTGTTTTCCAGCCTAACTGTCCAAAAGTAAATTTTGGAAATTTAAATTGATCTACAGGGCCCATCTTATTTTGTTACTAAGATTATTTTTATTCCGTTTTTATTAATGCTGTTTTTTATCCTGTTCGTGCCTTTGCGGCAGCGGCCCAGCTAGTGGAGTTAGAGGCGGCGGAGCTAAAGACCCGCCTCCGGAGCGTAGGGGTCCGAGACCCACGCAAATTGCAAGCGACCCTAGATTTTTGTATTTTTATATGTATATATATTTAGGAATAAGTTGTTAAATACAGTTAACCCCTTGTATTAAAGTGAGTTTGATACACTTCAGGTTGTCGAGATAAGACTTCCATGCTGACAACATTGCCTCGAGTTCCCATCACGTTCTAGCACCTCTACGAAGTAGCACTTCTACAGAGGCCGTGAACATACATGAACATGCTTCACTCACGTGTGAGCGGGTGGGGTGGTCGCTCTGGAGTCCCGGGTCGTGTGCTCTAGGCGGGTCACAGGCACGCAGCAGCATCGGGCCCAGCACAGCTGCCATGGGTCCACCTGTTGACTAGCGCTGGACAGCATGGCTCTCCTTGGACGCGCCCCCGCTGCCATCGGGATGGGGGACTCCCCAGGGGCCCGGTTCCCCGCTCCCAGGCTGGGCTTCTTCCCTTCTCGCCTCCCCTCTCCCCGCTGCAGCTGACAGAAAGGTGGAACTAAGGACCGACCCTCCCTAGCACACTGACACCTTGCAGTGAAAACGGGTGGCACCCAGACCTGATTGAGCGCATAGGGGACCTTTCTGAGCTAGGCGCTTTTGTTTTTTTGTTTTTTTAATTGCAGAAATGCCATCTTCCCAGAAGATGAGCCGGGGGGGTGGGGGCCAGTGAGGGGCGTTGGCAAGGTGCTGACGTCAGCCCCGCGAGGGGCGCCTGCGGGCCCGGGGCGTCCTGTCGCTGCTGCGGCAGCGGGCGGCGGGGCCCAGCGCGCACACGGACCTGCGGCCCCCCGAGGGCCCCGCCCGCCTCCCCGGTCAGCCGCAGGCCCGCTCCTCTGGGTTGGCCCAGGTGTGTGGGCCCTCGTGCTGCCCGGAGACCCAGCGCACGCTGGGCAGCACCCTGTGCTTCTCCCTTTTTCCCAGTCCCTGGTGCAGACCTTGGATTGCAGGTACAAGGAACACGTGTCAGGGACCGTGGTGGGGGCCCGTCCATTAGCTGGGCATCAGGGGCTGACTGTGTGGAAGTGCTTTCCTTCCTCCTCCACCATGGACAGTATCGGGGTCCTTTGTGTTTTCAGGCTGATTCGATTATAGTTATTCCTGACTAATTTCTAAAATTGCTTTTGAGGTTTTCTGTACTTGGGGAAACAGTTGTCTTTAAAATTTTTCCCCCAAATCCATCATTTCTGTGTTTTTATAAAAGCCTTATTTTATCTCTTCATTCCCACTATCGGTTCTCTTCCCGTTACTGTCCAGGCACAGAGAGCTGAGCATTTTTGTCTACAAGGCCCTGGGCTGGTTTTATTTTTACTTATTTTAAGTATTTTTTTGACGTAGGAGAAGGGAGGGAAACATCCATGTGTGGTTACACTCGTTACCCCCCACTGGGGACCTGGCCTGCAGCCCAGGCCCGTGTCCTGGAATCGAACCAGTGACCCTTCAGTTCGCAGCCCGGCCCTCAGTCCACGGAGCCCCACCAGCCAGGACAGGCCCCGGGTTTATTAGACAATGCGGCAGTGGCGCCCTGGCACTCACATTTGTAGGCCTGGGGTCTAGTGTTTTGGACTCCTCAAACAACTCCAGAGGCGACTTAAAGCACTGGGGATCTGAACAGGTTTTGACTGAAGCAGGAGCTTTGAGAATTGAAGTGGGAAACCTGAGAGGACCCGCACACCCCGGTCTGTCCAGCCTCGGGCCCCGGGGCAGCAGGCAGCCCGGCCCCCAGTTCGGGCGCACGGGGCAGAGGCGGGCGGAAGTGCTGCCCCGCAGCGGGCACGGGCTCCGGGAGCGCACGCCACCCCTCCGCAGGGCACGCGCTTCCTGCGAGAAACACGTGGGAGGCCTGGAGCCCGGGCACAGGGCGTAGACGCCTGCAGTGGGGGGGCCATTTGCCCCGTCTCTCCTGGAATCATCCGGGCAATAAAACGGCTGGAGACAAAGCTGGCCTCACACACGAACCCAGCTACCCGCCCGTTAGGGGCGCGCGGCCTGCCCGGAGGAAGGGCCCAGCACAGCGCCCATGGGCTCCCGTGTCCTTGGCTGTTGGGGGCATTCTTGTGGCATCTGCAAGTGTACTTTTTACAACATTAAACTAGCCAGCTAAGTAGGAGTTTAGTTCGGGGGAAGGTTTCACAGGCACACAACTTTGACATTTGAGACGAAACCCCTCAGCCCCCAGGGGAGGCTGGAAGTTCCCTAAAGCTCAGACAGGTCCTGCTCCCTACACCTGCTCTTCAGTGACCGTCATGTGACCTTGGGGCATTCTGGGTCCACCCTAATACTGATTGAAGATTGATGCTCCGGCGGCATCATTGTCTGTCAGAGTCCAGGGTCCCCTCTGAAGATGCTGCTGCTGCGGCCGCCCACTGGACCGCGCGAGTCTCAGACGTTCTTGTGTAAAGTTGTAAAACACTTCACGTCCTTAATCTTTGAGGCACAAAGCCATGCACATAGTTATGTTCTTAGCTGCTGAGAATTAAAGAAGTAAACTTAGAAGACGGATAAGTTTTGCCACTTCGTTTGTTTAAGTGAAGGTTGGGGCGGCTGCCGCTGTACGGGCGGACCCGGAGGAGCTCCGCAGGAAGAGTGCGCAGGTAACGGCCACCCCGGGCCGCCCCGGGGCCCGCTGTGACCAGGAGCGCGGGGAGGGTCTCCGGCCCCGAAGCCCTGCCCTGTGGTTAGAGTAGTGAGCCGTGGGCTCGGGTGGCGGGGAGCATCCGCCAAGGACCCCGGGCCACCACACCGCCGGGCTGCCCGGCTGCCAGCCCCCTTGAGCGACACACCCAGCCCCTATGAGGCCTGGGTCACATGTCGCCCGCTCTTCGTCTTGAGTGATTGGGCCAGTTTTTTTTTTTGTTTTTTTTGTTTTTGTTTTTTTTTAGAGGAGGAGGGAGGGCGAAAGCAAGAGAAACACCCGCGTGTGGTTGCCTCTCACATACCCCCTACCGGGGACCTGGCCCACAGCCCAGGCTGTGCCCTACACGGGGGATCAAGCCGGCGACCCTTTGGTTCACAGGCTGGCACTCAGTCCACGGAGCCCCACCAGGCAGGGCAAGGACAGTTTTCCTGTGCTACCAGTCCAACATGGATGTTAAAAACACCGTATGTGAGGCAGAGAACAAGGAAGAACGTTGACCAGATGTACACCAGGCTTTTTGCAGATTTCTTAGGGAGTCCTACGCACCTCTCCCGAGGGCAGAGCTCACCCGAGCAGGACCTGGAACAAGGCCATCAGAGGAGAGGTGCCCGTCCCCAGGCCAGAGCCTCCAACCTGAGCAGCCTCAGAGGGCGCTCCTGCGCCTGAGTGCTGTGGGGAACTGGTGTTTCCTGACAAAAGCAAATCAGTGCTTGGTGGTACTGATGGAAGAATAGCTCAAAATACTTAAGCAAACCCACAAAAGCAAAATTTCTCTTGCTACTGTTGATGGGTTTTTCACACTAGGAAGAATCTTGACAGGAAACAAAGTTGCAATGAGAAACTTCATTGTGTGCTTCCCGCTGAGCTGACAGTAGAATGGAGGTCACAGTGAAGAGTCCCCTCCCACACGGCCCTCTGCCGTGGCACCCAAGCCCTCATGTGCGTCCCTGTTCCAGAGACGGTCCCTCCAGGGGTGACAGCCGAGCGGGCGTGGGACCCGCGGGGGGGCGCGCTGCTGTGGGGCGGGGGCTGCGTCCCCAGTCTGGGCAGTCCCAGGGCGGGGGCACCCCGCGAGGGCCTCCAGCCACTGCCTTGCACCTGCCGTGTGGTCGGGCTTGCGGGCGCCCCAGACACTCGATCTCTGGCGTTTGCAGCCAATCGCCCGGCCGCGGCGGGCCCGCCACAGGCGTCGGTGTGCCTGCCTGCGGCTGGGAGTTCAGGGTGAAGAGCACTGTCTGGGTGGGACGAGATCTAAAGCAGTTGGTGACTGAGGGGCTGCTCGCTGGTGCAGGGCCTGGGCGGGCTGTCCCGGGACTCCCGTCCCTGGGTGTGGGCGCGCAGAGCTGTGCTGGCCGGGTGTGCCCCCACACTTACTCCCACCCCTGCGACAGCTTCGTCTGGGCACCTGCACAGCCTCCACGCAGGGACAGGGCAGCGCCGCCAGTGGAGACCTGTGTCCTCCCGTCTCCATGGAGGTCCGCCAGTGCCACCCAGTGGCCGCGCCGTGCCACCGCCCGCCTGGCAGTGTGGCACAGGGCCCTCGCTTCACGCTCACTGGGAAACGAGCCAATTAGAGAGTCGCTGAGGGCTGGTCCGGGGGAGCCCTGGCCGCCCGGCCGGTGGTTGGCTTCGCCCCGACCTACGGGGCCCGCAGCAGACGCAGCGCTCGGGCAGGGGCCTGGCCTCGGGCAGCCTTGCCCCCCACAGCTGTGGAGGCATCGGCTGGCTCCCCGAGTCAGCCTGGCCTGGAGCCGGAGGCAGGCAAGCCCCAGGTGTGGACGCTGAAGGCCCCTTGGCTGCCGGGCGGGGGGGACCCAGACGGGCGCCAGGCCACTGCGGGCCGTGCCAGCAGGGAGCCCGCAGCTCGTGGGCGGCCACAGTCCCTGCAGCCACCCCAGCGTGGGACGTGCTGCTGCTGCTCCAGGATGAGTTCCTTCTCCCTAGTTACCAAGTCCCTCCCTGCCCTTCTGAGAAGCTGCACGCAGCCGGACAGGTAGGCGTGAATTTGGATGGAGGTTTTGCAGGTTTGGTTGTAGGTCTTCTCTAAAACAGCAGTGTTTCTCTCACTTTCAGAACTTTCTAGCACCGCACCAGGGCCGCTGTCGGGCTGCGCATCCCGAGTGCAGCTCAGTCGGGCCAGGCGTGCCTGTGGGTGGCAGCTGCGTGGAAGTGTTCGCATGTTTCAGACGTCCCTTCAAAGTAGGAGAGGGATGTGGCCGGCTTGCTCTTGGAGTCCACCGTCTTGAGACATTTTACCAATAATTAGTTTAATGATACCTATTTATATCCCCTGGGGAGCAGGTAAAGGTTAGTGAAGGTTGACTTTTAAAAGGCGAAAGCAATTAATTTTACAAAATGGCCTAATGGTTCAGGAAGGCCATCCCCTGCGTTGTAAGGAGAGCGCACGTGTGGGCCGTTAACCGCTCTGGGTAGCGGCCGTGCCGGGCAGGCCCTGAAGGCAGCCTCTCAGTGGGTTTTCCCCGACGAGCGAGAAAGCCCCAGCTAGACCAGAAGTGTGGCTCTTGGGTTCTCACCTGGAGACCCAGGGCAGATGTCATTGGCGTTAGCACCAGGCTGTCGCCTGAAATGACGAGAGTGTTAGACAACGAGATTCGTCCCAAGGCCTGCGGCACAGGCGTCCGGGGCGTTAAGAGTCAGGCCCCCTGGGGTTCCTGGAAGCGCTCCAGGCCGGCTTCTCGGAGGTGCCTTCGGAGCGCGCTGCGGAGGCGCACTCCGCAGGGTCTGTGCTTGCGAAGGGCCCCCTTCTTCGCCTGCAGCAGCCCCTCCCTCTGTGACTGGCGGGGCGCAGCCGCCCCTCTGCCGGCCAGCGCCTGAGGCCCCCCGCCCCACCCTTACCCTGTCACTGAACCGGAGCCCGAGGCCATGAGCCCCGTCCCAGCTGGTAGCGTCAAGTCCCCAGGTGCCGACCTGCAGCGGCCCTTCCTGTGTGGGCTCGATCCGGTGAAGCAGCACACCTGGAACAGGTGCTTTCGTCTCCTTCCTGACATCCCCTTGCTTTGTCTGACTTGGCAGCTGGCTTCCCGCAGAGATCCACTTCCCAGGGGAGCGAAGCTTCAGGGGTGTAGCGTGGTGACTGGACGTGGGTGAGGACGAGCAGGGCAGGCGGAGAGGCCGGCTGGCTTGGGCCTGGCGGCGCAGTGTGGGCTGCACGGGGCGGCGAGGGCTCGGGGAGGAAACGCGGCCCTGCAGTCCGGGTTGGGGCTGGGCACCGAGGGCTTCACACGCGGCCCTGGCGTTGGGGTCCAGGTGGTGCTGCTGCAAACTTTGTAAGACGAGGTGGTTTCATTCCTACCACAAAGTGGAAGAAACGCCAGGTGCCTGTGTGCTGGCCGCAAAGCCCGTTGCTGAGCTGGCCTCGCCTGCTGCTGCAGAGGGAAGTCCTCGCGGGTGGCGGCTCTGGCCCTCTGCCAGCGTGGGCACGGCCGGTGGCGGCGGCTGCTCGGGCTGGGGGTGCCCCGCCAGGGCTCGTCTGTGGGCGGGGCTGGGCCCCCAGGCAGGTTTCAGCCTCCCCGCCCCCCGCCTGCCCTGCCGTTCACTGGAAGGCGAAGGGAGCCCTGGTGAGCCGGGACAGGCTGCTTGTCAGTCTCTGGGTAGAGTCGACAGAGCTCGGGCGTCTGTCGAAGCCCCGCTTGGGGGCCCAGGAGGTTTCGGGGCTCTGCTGCTGCCCGGGCAGTTCGAGAAGAGCCTGCACCTGGCGAGGCGCCTTCTCCATCGGCTCCCGTGTGGCCTGGTCAGTGTCCTGGCCCGCCTCGGGCGGCGGCCTCCTATCAGTGTGCCTGCCGGCTGCGGTCGGCTGCCCGCGCTGGGCCTGGGCCGTGGCCCCGGCTCAGCGCCATCTTCCTTGTTTACCTAAGACCAGAATTGTGAGGGTCTGACAGGAGCAGTGTAATCAATCCTTTAGCATATTCTCTTCTTTAAAGAAAAAGTCCTGGTATCAAAATTTTTGGGCACATTGAAGGGTTTTAGTAATGTTTTTAGCTCTCGTGTACAATCCTCGTTCGAATCACAAGTGTTCACGTGTGGCCCTGACGAGTGATCAAACACCGCTGGCGGCTGTGAGCAGGAAGTCCGTTTATGCGCCGACATGGCCCGTTCTCGTCACCTTAGTGTAGCGGAGATCGGGGTCCCATGTTGCAGCGTTCTGCTCCCTTCCTGTGTTTTGTCAATGTCAACATATCGACTTTGCCCAAAAGAATGATGAACACCTGTGGGTGACCCTCCAAAGCCCTGAGGGTCATAGGGAGGGCGTCTGTCTGACCCACCCTGAGAAGGTTCTTTCAGAGTCACGCTTATAAATGAACGGCACTTGAGTCCTTAACGAAGTGTCCTCTGTGCCTGCCCAGGCGTCACGTGAGGTTCGCCCCTCCGAGCTTAGCTGATGGCCTCGTAAAACCTCAGGTTGGATGTGTCAGTGTGGCGGCAGCACGGCAGGGGCAGGCCTGCCTTTCTGAAGTACAGAGCAGTTGCGACCCTCAGGGAGCGCTTCGCTCTCTGCACTTCCAGCTGCGCCGCTCGGCGGCCTGGAGGCGCGCGCTGCACATGGCGCTCCCTGCAGTGCGCCCCGGGCCCGGCTGCGGCCTGGTGAGCTTTTGCTAGGTGGAGGCTGTGCGTGCTTCCGGGTCACCCCGCTGCACACAGGCGTGTCCTCCAGCCTCACTCACGTTGTATGTCCTTTGCAGCCGTGAAGGAGGACCGGCAAGTGGAGGAGAACACGGCAGCTGCGGGGACGAAGAAGGTGGTGGCGCCGGGCCCTGCTCTGGGCGGCAGGCAGCCCTCGCCCCGGAGACTCCTCCCGAAGAAGTCACCTCCTTTCCCAGGTGCGGCCAAGCCGGCCGTCCGGAAGCTGCCCTCGGGCTTCACCGGCACCATCCCCAAGCGGCCCTGGCCCTCGGCTGCTGCCTCAGGCAGCGCTCCCTCCACCAAGCAGACGGGGCTGGGGCCTGGCGCCACCACGGCTGCTTCCAAAAGGCCGCCTGCCCCCACCACCCTGGGGGGTGCTGCCCGGAAGCCCATGGCGGCCTCTGTCCCCTTGGCCTCCCCAGCCCCAGGCCGTCTGGGGGCCTCGAACGCTGCCCCATCGCAGCCAAATTCACAGATCCGGCAAAATATTCGGCGCTCCTTGAAGGAGATTTTGTGGAAGAGGTAGGCTGTTGTGCTCGGTTGTCTGATTGCTGCCATGGTACGAGCTGGGAGCGCGGGGTTTACACTGCCCTCCCGTCCCTTTAGAGCCAGTGACAGTGACGACCTCATGATGACAGAGAGCGAGGTCGGGAAGGTCGCCCTCCACATCGAGAAGGAGATGTTCAACCTCTTCCATGTCACCGACAATCGCTACAAGAGCAAATACCGCAGCATCATGTTCAACCTCAAGGACCCCAAGAACCAGGTGTGTGTCGGTGCCCCGGCCGGGCTTCCTGCCGCCGAGGGCACACGCGGGCTCTGCGGCTGAGGGTTGCCCTGCTGCGCCGCACGCGGCACGTTAAAACACTCGTGCCCTTTCATGGAAGCCACCAGGCATTTTCAGCCCCCGCGGTGCCGGCCGTGGGCCGTCGGCTTGGGTGTGCGGGCGCCTCCCCCCGGCCCGCCCTTCCCTGCAGCCCTGGGGCCGTCTTCCTCTCGCACGCTCGTGTCCTGGGCGCCTGGCGGGACAGCTGCGCTCCTGCCGCCTCGCTGGCTCCAGAGCAAAGGCCGCGTCCTGGACAGGAGCGCGCAGGCAGCCCTGCACTGGGGCGCCTCCACCGCATCTTCGGTCTTGTCGTTGCCGCGCGGCAGCAGAGTGGGCCTGCCCGCCGGGCTCCCGTGGCGGCGGGCCCTGTGCACACTCGGGGGGCTCCGTCCTCGCAGACACCTGCCTGGGGCGGCTCCTGCCTCCTGGGCTGTCCTTCATCGCGGGCATTGCATGTCTTCGGCCTCTTGGAGTCTCCCCTGTGCCCAGGAGCAGGGTGCGGTGGGAAGCCCTGGCTTCCTGCCTGCCTGTGAGCCGCCCCGTGGAAAGGGGTCTCCTCTCCCTTGCCGCTCGCGTGGCCCCCTGGCGCTGGCCGGGGCCTCCCCAGGGTCTCAGGCAGGCGGTGCGGCATGGGCCTGCGGTCAGCGGGGTGGGGCCTGGCCCGGAGCCCCCGGGCACGGCGGCTCGCACGGGCTCTGGGGGGCTGCGTGCCACGAGGCCCCCGTTGCCTGGGTCCGGTGCTCCGGCCCGCGCCCCACTGTCACTTGGCCACCTGCCCTGTCCTCTTTGTGCCTTTTCTTGGATCTTAGAAACAGCCACTCGGCTATTTGAAACCAGAGGATGAGAGACACTCTTTTGCAGGGCCTCTTCCATCGTGTTCTGCGGGAAGAGATCTCTTTGGCCAAACTTGTGAGAATGAAGCCGGAAGAACTTGTGTCTAAAGAGCTCTCCACGTGGAAGGAGAGGCCGACAAAGCCCGTGAGTGCCGAGGGCGGCGGCCGCACTTCTCCGGAAGTGAACGCTGCAAGGCGGGCGGGGGAGCCCCCGGAAAGGGAGTAACCTGCGTCTTCCCTCTCAGATGGCAGAGCCCAGAGCGAAGCTGCACCAGGAGAGTAAGAAGGTGGCCGCCAGGCAAGAGGCCATCCCTGACCTGGAAGACTCCCCGCCCGTGTCAGACTCAGACGTGAGCACTGGGGTCCAGGCTGCGCGGCTGCGTTGCTCTTGAGGGCTCGTCCCTGGGGGTTCCTACCCCAAGCCCGACCGGGAAGCGGTGGCCGCAGTGTCCCGTCCTTCTCTCTCAGGAACAAGAGTCGGTGCGCACCGCCCCCGAGAAGAGCGCCGCGCCCGCGCTGGACGTGTTCAGCAGCATGCTGAAGGACACCACGGGCCAGCACCGCGCCCACCTCTTCGACCTGAACTGCAGGATCTGCACAGGTGAGCGGGGCAGGTGGGGGCGGGGATTCGCTCCAGGTCGCTGACCCTTCCATGGCGATTGTGTTCAGCCGAAGTTTAAAAATGAACGAGGCTGGGCTGGTCTTTGGGAATCGCGGAGGCCGGCCCCCGCCTTGGCAGAACCGGCGTCTGCGCGGGGCAGGCGGGGCCCCGGGGACGCCCGACCCTCCCCGACCCTCCCCGACCCTCCTCGTGTGCTTCAGGTCAGCTTCCCTCAGAAGATGAACCAGCCCCGAAAAAACAGAAAACATCGGCTCCTGCGAAGAGAGAAGAGTCCAAACTCAAGTGCGACAGCTCGCTCTCTGAGCCAGCTCTCGGCCCTGCCGACGACACAGTCCTGGAAGCGCTGCCTGGAAACGCCTCTGAACCCGACCCAGAGAGCGCGCCCCAGGCCCCCTCGGAGAGGGGCCTCCCCGGGACCCCGGGAGACAGCCGCCGTGAGCCCTCCGCCCCGGAAGGGCCCTCTTGCCCGGCCCCCAGCGGGGGCACCGTGGTCACCACCGTCACCGTGTCCGGCCGCGACCCCAGGACCGCACAGAGCACGGCGAGCACCATCGCGCCGCCCGCGGCGGCCCCCCCAGACAGCACCCCGCTGGCCGCGCCGCAGCAGGACGGCCCGAAGCCGGCCGCGCCCCCGGTGCTGGTGCCCAAGTCCATACTGGCCAAGCCGTCCTCGTCCCCCGAGCCCAGATACCTGCTGTCCATCCCGCCGTCCCCGAGCATCAGGTGTGGTCTCTGCGTGTGGGTTCGCGCTCTGTGCGTGAGCGGGGGGCGGCGGGGGGCAGAGCAGGAGGAGCAACTCGGCGCTCGGCTCTGAAATCACCCGGCCGCACGCTGCTCCTCTTCTGCGGGCCTGCGGGGGGCGCCTCCTCTCACTAGGAAACAGTTGAATTCATGGCCTGTGGTTTCTGTTGCCTGTTTGGTTTTTTCTGACCAGGATGTGCACTTACATCGTAACGATGTAGTTGGTTTGAAAGAGCAGGCTTCCAGGGCGCGCTGGCACTCGGGGCCATGTCTGTGCAGAGAGCGCCTCACCCCTCCTCTCCGGTCCTGTTTTGCAGCACGGCAGAGCCGAGGTCCCCCCCGGACGGAGACGCGCCCCTCTTCCTGTCTCGGCTCAGCACCATTTGGAAAGGGTTCATTAACATGCAGAGCGTAGCCAAGTTCGTCACGAAGGCTTACCCGGTCTCGGGATGTTTTGATTATCTCAGTGAGGTTAGTGCCAAGGGTGTGCGCGTGCACCTCTTACAGGAGTTCGGGTCCTGGAGGTGGTCCCCAGCTGAGCGCCTGGGCACGAAGGCGCTCGGGGACTGGTGGGTGAGGCACAGCGAGTCCACGGGTCAGGCGGTTGGGCAGGAATTCCCATGGGAAGTTGGGCCTCCCAGCTTCCGGGAAGAAGCCACGGTCCATCCTCTCCTCCTGTGGTCCACCCGGGCGCTGACCCACGTGTGTGACCTGCTGTGGCATGCGGTGACACCGTCCGTGGAGGGCTGTCGCGCTGGGACCTGAGCCAGGAGCAGACAGCACTGCTGGGATACTGGCTCATGTCGCATGCTGTGCGGCTCGAGGCTGTCCTCTCCCCACGGTCTGGGTGACTCGGTCCCCGTGTCTGATAACCGAGCAGCGTCTGGAACGCTGAGCGCCGAGCTCTCTGCCGCTGCCTGGTTTCCTCAGCTCGCTGCCTGGGGCAGCTGAACCGGCCGGCGGCCTCTGCGGGCTGGCTTTACCCGTCGCTCAGCAGACATTGTTTCGTCTAGGACCTGCCCGACACGATCCACATCGGGGGGCGGATCGCACCGAGGACCGTGTGGGACTACGTCGGCAAACTCAAGTCCTCTGTGTCGAAGGTACCGCCCACAGTCCGCGCCTGCGGAGGAGGCGCTCTGCCCTCACGTCCTGCCCTGGCCGGTCACCGCGAGCAGTGGCAGCCTGCAGCTTCCTCGCTGTCTGCAGGCGGCGCGCAGTCCCGTCTGGAGCTGGGCGGGCCTGTGAGCGTGGGCGCAGCAGCGCGGGCCCTGCTCTGACTTGGCTCGCGTGCAGGTCGGTGGGGCGAGCGGCCCCCATTTCCTGGCGTCCTTGCAGATGGGGGCGTGGGGCAAGGCCTCGTGGACGGGCCCGTGTGCCGCGCGCCCCGAGGTTAGCCGCCCCGGTGTCTGCACAGGTGGTGCTCTGGGGGCCGGGCTGCCGTTCGCTGTCGGTTCACAGGCTCTGCCTCCTGTGTGCAAGCAGCACCTGTGGCCCTCTGCCTGCCCTGCACGGGGGCTGTCTCCTGGGCGTGAGGGCCGCACGGGCGGGTGGCGGTGCGAGGCCCCCGGCCGGGAGTGCAGCCGCGTGGCTGTCGAGCCTGTGTTCTGCCTGCCACCCCCTTGCCCACGGCGGGACGGCAGGCCTGTGAGATCCAGGGCAGGCCCCGCATCCCTCTCATTCAGGCCGCTGCCGCCTCTGGGCCCCGCGGGCCGACGTGCCGTCCGGTTTGTGTTGCAGGAGCTGTGTCTGATCCGCTTCCATCCCGCCACGGAGGAGGAGGAGGTGGCCTACATCTCGCTCTACTCCTATTTCAGCAGCCGCGGCCGCTTCGGCGTTGTCGCAAACAACAGCAGGCACATCAAAGACCTCTATCTGATCCCCCTGAGCGCTGAGGACCCCGTGCCGCCCAAGCTCTTGCCCTTCGAGGGACCAGGTAAGCAGCAGCTTTCTGGGGGCTGGCCAGGCCCCTGGGATCACTTGTGTCCCCAACCCCGAGTCTCCCTGATCGGTTGCCAGGGGTCACGCCACCTCCCGCACTGTCCGGGAGCAGGAGCTAGCGGTCACGTGAAGCGGCGGTTAGCTGGCGGGCAGCTCCGGGCTGTCCAGGGCGGCCCTAGAAGTGCCCTTGTTACCAGTGTAAGTCATCCTAGAAAAGTGTTACGGAAGGAAAGACCCATAGCGTCCAGCCTTTCGTGGCCTGGGGTCAGTGGACAGTTCAGGTGCTCAGGAGCCTGGAGGAGAGCCTGTGAGGAGAGGCGACACTTCCTGGCAGCCGGCCACCCCACCTGCTGCCGGCAGGGCTCTGCCAGCACCCAGCGCGGGAGCGCCCGGCCGGCGCTCTCCAGCTCCGCCAGGGAGTCGCTGCAGGAGGCTCGGGAAACGGTAGCGGAGGAGGAGGTGTTGCTAGAAGTAATGAGTTTCAAATGTGCTGCTCCAAGTTTAGTTCTTTTATTTTTCTCAAAATACTTTGTGTTTGCTTCTTCCTTATAAAGTGTTGCTTTTAAAGGATTACTTAAAAATTAGCCTTAAAAAAGCTTGGACTCGTCGAGGGGTCGAGGGCGAGTCCAAGGGCACGTGGTCTGAGGGCACAGCTCTCGACGCCCTGAGAAGAAGCTGGCGGAAGGCGCGCACGCGGACACGCCCCTCGGCCGCGGGGTGCCGGGAAGACGGAGCGCCGGACACGCAGTGCGTGCTCGGGGGAGGGCTCTGTCCTGGAGGCGGTGGCCAAGTGCTCCGACCACCACGACGGTGCTGCCTGTTTCCTGGCACCGCCACGTCCTCACCCACGACACCCGGCCGGGCGAGTCTCCCGCCGTGCCCCGTGCTCGCTGGGCTGGGGGCGGCCCCCCGTAGGCATGCCGGGTCCCCGGCCGTCACGAGCAGAGCAGGAGGCGGGCTGGGCTCCGCGTCCACGGGCGCAGCACAGGGCGCCGTCTCAGCGCCGCACGCACTGGAAGAGCCGGGACTTCAGGGTGTCCCCTCTCGTGCTCCTTGGGTGAAGAGAGGGCCCCTCGCGGACATCAGGGAGGGCCTGGGGGAGCAGCTCGACGACGTGGCTGGCTGGTCCCCAGAGGGCCCGGAGGGAGGCGTCCTGGCCCTGCGGGCGAGGCGAAGACGCTGACCGCGCAGAGCCCGCCAGGAGCCTCCGGCCGGGGGCAAGCGAGGGCCTTTGTGCCGGTGGAGGTGGGTCGGTGGGGCTGGGCCCCGGGCCCCGGAACAGCATCCCTGCTCTGAGCCCCCGCTGCCTGGGCTGCGGGGGGCGGGGGGGGGGCGGCCTCAGGACACGCAGTCGGTGGGCCAAGCAGGCCGCCTCTGCGGGGGCTGGGACACCCCCTGAGGGCACACAAGGGTTTTAGAAACGAAGCCATTTTTGCCCGTGAACGCTTACGAGGCTCTTTTTTAAGGGCATCCTTCTACGTGTGAGCCTCTTTGATTCAGTGTGTCGCTTTTCATGCCGATACCACTGTCTCTCTGGTACGTTAACGTCCACGTACGTTTATAAAGTCCACGTCAGCAAACCCGGCGCCAGGCCAGGGCCTCCCTCTCCCGTCTCACGTGGGCACCGTGGGACCTGTGCACTCCCGTGTGGGGTCTGTGTGTGCCGCTCCCATGCCGTGTCTGCGTGTGTGTGTCTGCGTGTCGTGTGCGCCTGTGGATGGAAGGCTGGGCGGGATGGCTCCCCCGCCCCCCGCTGTCGCAGTGCTCCCTGCCTCCCTGCCTCCCTGCCTCCCTGCCTCCCTGCGCTGGTCTCGGTGCAGCCTCCTCTGGGGGGCAGGCCCTGTCTCGGGGGCGGTGACATCCCCAGCGAGCACTGGCCCCTTGGCCTGGTGGGCGCGCCCTTGACCCCGTTGCAGCCCGGTGCTGTCCTCTGCCCAGGGAGTGTCCACCAGGGTTGGCTGTGCTGAGGCCCTGCGCTCTGTCCCCCTCAGCTTTCTGGAGGAAACGAAGCCCAGGCCGGGTTGGGGGGCGGGGCCCGTATCCAGCTTCGGGAGCCGTGGTCTGCGTGGGCCCCGGCCGCCGCCCGGGTGGGGTTGCTGTGGGGGGGCCGATGTGCGCACCCCGTAGGCGACAAGGTGCAGCTCTCTCCCCACCCTGCCCCGGCCGTGGGAGCCCGCAAGGCAGATGACAGTCCCCTGAGCTCTTGCTGTCCGCCCCGGAGCAGCAAGCGATGGTGCTTATTCCGAGCCCGGCCTTGTGAGCCGGCGCTGACCACCCTCCCTGGCCGCCCGCCAGCCCCGAGAGCACAGCGTGCTCAGGGTGCAGGACGCCACGGCCTCGCATGCCTACATGGCTTGTCCACGGAAGGGCCGGGGGGGGGTCTCGTGTGACATGCGGCGTTTCAGTACCGGGGCGGCGTGGTTTCAGAGGGCCCCAGGGTCCCTGCGGGCACTCGCTCAGCTCCGTCGCTGGCCCTGGCGGCCCCAGCCCTGGGGACGCGGCCTCGCTTGTACATGGCTGGCCAGTCAGACTGGGCGCCTGCGTGGTTCCTGTGTGAGCCCAGCAGGACCAGGCTAGGCCAGCGCTAGGCCAGGACCCCCCCCCGCCCCCCGCCCAGAGACAGGCAGGCTTCAGGTGCCCTGGCCCACGGCAGGCACGGCCGGGCGTTTCTGGGATGCGGGCCGTGGGAGCAGGGGCAGGCGCTGCCTCCGGGGGCCGGGCGGGGCCTCCTTGCGGGATCACAGCCCAGTGCCTTCTGCCCGCGGTTCTCCTGTGCTCTCGTGGGCTGGGGCTGGGCCTTCCCTGCTGCCAGGTGAGCCTCTCTCTGTGTGTCCAGCTGTGCACTGTGACCCGAGCCACAGGCCCTACTGAATGTATCCGTCTTTTCCTTTGAAATCAATAAAAAATACTTCATGGAAACTGGTCGTCGTGTGTTTGAATCTGAACCGAGCGCTGGCCCCCGGCACCTGTTGTCCCCCGCCGATGCCCCTCGGCCTAGGGCGTGGCCCTGCGGCCCGAGCCCTGGCTGGGGCGGGTGGCTCTGACCGGCGGCGCTGAGCCCGGCGGCTCTGTCCCCGCCGCGTGGGTTCTGCGTGCGTGTGCACGTGAGAGGAGGCACCCGCACCCGTACGCGCCGCCTCGCTGCTCCCCGGTCACGTGAGGGCTGTCCCGCGTGCCTCTCAGACGGCGCTGTTCCAGTCGCGGCGCGTTTTGTCGGGACCGATTCAGACTGCAGCAGGGTTCTCGTTTTGCGCAATGGGGAGTGGCGCGTGCCGGGGGGTTTCGGGGGAAAGGCAGCGTTTCTCGTCGCTGGGGGTGAAGGAGCCAGTCCCTGAAGCCAGGCCTCCGCTGCGACGGGCCAGGTCGGGGGCCCAGGGCCCCCGCCAGCGCCCCCTCCCTTCCCACAGCCCGCGCCTCTCCAGGCCTCTCTGTCCCTGGGCTTCTGGGCGCCTCTGCCGCGGGCGGTCTGCTGGTAGCGCTGAGCCGAGGCTGCCCCTCCCCGTGACCCCTCGGGGTCAGATTAAGGCAGCCACGCAGGCCTGTCCCCATCCGCACAGCGCGGTCCGCTGGTCAGCGTTTGCCCCGGTCCTGCGGAGGGGTCAAGGGGTCAGCGGCTGCCTGGGCTCCTTGTCGGGAAATGCAGGGTGACACAGCGAGGGAGCCGCCCCCCACCGGTCGTTCTCATCTGCTTGAGGAATTCTAAGCCTCGACGGCCCTCAGAAAGGGAGGGGGAGGGGAGGTGCGCCCCGCTGCCCACAGCGGGACGGGGGTGTGGCCAACCGGGCCGCCCGGGCGCCTCACTGCAGCCGGCGTGGGGGTGAGTGGGAGGGCCCGGAGGGGCGGCGGGGGCGGCCGCCTCCCAGCAGTGGGTGGCCCCCGGCGGACGCCGCGGGTCTCAGGAGAGGCCGCCTTTCTGTCGGAGCAGCGAGCCTTTTGTCTCATGAATGGAAGTTACTTCCGAGGTGCTCGTTCCATTTCAGACACCCGCGCAGCCCGTACGTGAACACACGCCTAGGAGAACACAATTGGACGGCTTCCCAACGCGGGCGGGCCGTGTTCTGCGCACCCAGGTCAAACTTGGCTTAGCTTTTGGGGAAGGTTAGTCGGGAAATTCAAAACCGACGCCCCAGTCCCGGAGCCGTCGGAGCGCTCACAGGCGCGTGCAGGCGCGGAGCCCTGCCAGCTGCCTCGGTGCCCGGCTGTGGGCCACCTCCGTCTCCCAGCGGTGCTCTGAAGCGGCACGGCCACAGCCGTGCCCGTGAGTGTGGGGTGGGGCGGGGCGGGGGCCTGTGTGCTGCAGGGAGCGCGGCAGCGGCTGTAGCCGGCCAGGCACACGTGCCACAGGGCCGGTGGCCTGTCTGCCCGGGGGTGGGCGCAGGGACCTCCTGGCACACAGCCGATGGACCTGCAGCTCGGCTGGCGCCACAGCCTGGTGTTGGCGCAGTCCCTGCGCTGGGAACCCGCCTATCCAGCTCTGGGCTGCCCAGGGGACATCCCCACGCCGGCCCCAGCCCTTGCCCACAGCCCCTTACCACTGGTGGCAGGTGCTACAGAGACAGGCAGCTTCAGGGCTGTCCCCACGTGGGCAGCTGCCCGCGAGCCCTGCGGGTCCTCAGTGGACGCCTCAGCTCGCATGGTGGCCTGAGGAGGGGCCGGAAGGACCCCGGTGGGGAGGGTGGCGATGCAGCATTAGCCCTGCGGTGCTCTCTGCGAGGCCGGAGGGGCCGCATGTGCTCAGCCTGCCAGCCATCTCGGCGGGGTTTGGGGAGGGCGGCAGGGCCACACAGTGGAGTCATTTGGGACCATCTTTAAAACCACACAGTAGGAAAACGGTCTTTAACTTGTTTTGCAGTAAGGCTAACACGGACGTCTGGGGACCAAAGTGCTGTCTGTTACTCACTTGTTAATTTATTTACACATTGATTAATTTCAAACACCTTCTGCTGTTGAAACAAACTCTGTGTGGCATTTCTCCTGAAGTTACTGCTTGGTGACTTGGGGTTTTTGTTCGCCTTTTGGTGGCCTGGGTTTATTCTGTCTAGGGAGTAGGGGTTCATTGCTGAAATGTCAGCGTTCCCGAAACAATGCGCCACCGTTCGGAGTGCCTGGAGTGACCCTTAAGGAGTAACTCTTTCTTAACAACTGGCTGTGCCCTCGAACCCTGGTGTGCGTGCTCTGGACGCCTCGGCACACACTCACGCACCACATCCTGCGTTTACGAGGACAGCGTTAGACCGCTCTCGGTCGATTAACGCTCGTGGAATTTATTTCTAAACCTGAAAGAATATTTATTTCAGTCGTTTCAGTCTGCAGCACTTTTCCTGTTAATTCTAATTTCGACACCAGCCACCAGTGAACGTCCCTCATGGAGTGGACTGCATCGATCGTTGCAGTCTTCCTGATCATTGCCATTGAGTCGGTCCCTGATCAGACGTTGAACGTTAGTATGTTTAGCGTGATGTCGCTGCTGCCGCTCCCAAGTTACAGGCTGGGGGGCAGGCCCCCCCCCCCCGTGTGCGCGCTCAGCCGCCGTCCCTCCTCGCTCCCCCCGGGGCTGGTTAACAGTGCAGCGTCCGTACAACGGCCGCCCCGCCGCCTCTGCCACCCGAGTGCCGGAGCACTGGGTGTGATGTTACATGTGCAACGTAAATGCTGGCCGTTGGAGTGAGTTTACTTGGGAGCAAGCGCTGGGTTCGGGGGGTGGAACCCGGGGTCAATGTCTTTCGCTGCCAGTCCTTTTAAACACTCGGCTCTCCTTGGTCCAGAAGCTGTGCCTCCCGCCCATGCCCACCCCCGCTGCTGCCCTTGCTGCAGCTCGCCTCCGACGGGCAGAGCGGGCTTCAGATTCTCAGACTGGTGCGATGTTTTGTTTTTCAGGTCTCGAGTCCCCGCGTCCAAACATAATCCTTGGGTTAGTAATCTGCCAGAAGATAAAGCGCCCTTCGACTGCTGGAGACGTAGACAAGACGGAGGAGAAGAGGGCCCGGCTGCAGGCGCCGGAGGAGCCGGACGTGCCGGGCTACCCCAAAGCGCCTCCGGCCTCGCAGTCGGAGAAGAAGCCCCCCAAATATCAGCTCAGCTCTGGGGACACCGCTGTCAGCGCCACGCCCCCAGGGTCCCCTCCGCCCCCGCCCCCTCTGCCAGAACCGCCCGCGTCCTCCTCCTCGTCCGTGTTGAAGATGTTGTCGTCCCTCAAGCCGGGAGCCACCGGCACTGTCACGGCCCCACCCGCCCCGGCGGCAGTCGCCGCGGCCGCCGCCTCTGCCTCCAAAACGGCCTCGCCGCTGGAGCACATCCTGCAGACTCTGTTTGGGAAGAAGAAAGCGTTTGAGCCCGCGGCCGTGGAGCCCACGGAGCCTGCGCCCGCCTCCCGCCCTGACACCAGGGCCGAGAGCGGGCTGCCGGCCGCGCCGCTGCTGGACCCCATCGTCCAGCAGTTCGGTCAGTTCTCCAGAGAGAGGGTCCTGGAGGAAGAGGAAGACGACAGGCCCTATGACCCCGAAGAGGAGTACGGTCCTGACCGGGCCTTCGACGCCCAGTTCGGGGGCCGAGGGAAGCGGCCGGACGTGGAGAGGGCCTCCGAGACGGCCGAGCGGGAAGAGGTGGCCTACGACCCCGAGGACGAGACGATTCTAGAAGAAGCCAAAGTGACCATCGACGATCTGCCGAACAGGATGTGCGCAGACGCCCGGGGCAGCGCCGCCGCCGCGCCCTCCCTCGCAGAGCAGCAGAAGATGATCGAGGAGCTCAATCGACAGATCGAGGAGCAGAAGCGGCAGGTGCAGGAGCAGGAGGAGGCGCTCCGGCAGCAGCGGGCGGCTGTGGGGGCCTCCATGGCCCACTTCTCGGTGTCGGACGCGCTGATGTCGCCGCCTCCCAAGGCCTCGCTGCCCAAGGCCGAGCTGCTCCCGCAGGAGCCGCAGGCCTCCAGCAGGGCCGCCGGGCCGCCCGCCAGTCAGGGGCCCGGCCCCGGCTCCGACCCACGACAGAGTCGGGACCCCCGGCAGGCCCGGCGGCTGGCCGCGGAGAGCAGCGAGAGCGAGGGCTTCTCAAAGGCTCCCGCCGGCAGCGCGCCCAGCACCCTGCCCGCCAGAGAAGTGCCCGGTGGGGCTGCCACCGGGCAGGGGCGCGCACCCGCCCCGGAAGAAAAGGAGCCCACCCCTCCGCCCTGGGCTCCTGGGGACGAGGCCACGCGGCCCGGCAAGCAGGTGGGCGCCACAGGCGAGCTCTCGGAAAGCCAAGGCCCGCCGCCCAGCGACAGCGGCCCTCCTGTGGCCGGCGGCCCCGGCCTGGCCCGGCCCGCCCGGAAGGTGCTGCTGCCCACGCCGCCCAGCACCGGCTTCCCGCCCGGCTTTGCCGCGCAGGGTGAGGGGCCGGGCTTCGGCTCCCCGGCCGGGCGGGACCCGTTTCTGAGCCCAGCGTTCGCATCTCAGGACCGAGCCTTTGGCTCGTCGCCATATGAGGATCCAAGAAACGCCCTGTTTGCTGAAAAGAGCGATCGTTCGGCCATGGAGACCGAAGGAGACAGAGACCCACCATGCAGAGCTGGTGAGGGGGCAGCCCCGTACCCCCCGCCGGGGCCCCAGTTCCACGGCCAGCGCGAGCCTGCACCCCGCACTTTCGGAACGTCGGGACCTCACGGCCCCAGCTTCCCGGGGCCGCGGGGGCCAGCGCCTGCGTTTCCAGAGGAGAACATCATGTCTAACAACGATGGGCCGAGAGGACCCCCATCAGCCCGATTCGGGGCCCAGAAGGGGCCCATCCCTTCCCTGTTCTCAGGGCCACACGGGCCACCTCCCTACGGGGACAGCAGGGGCCCCTCACCCTCTCACCCTGGGGGGCCCAGGGGAGCAGCACCACCCCAATTCGAGGAGCGCAAGGATCCGCACGGCGAGGCGAGGGAGTTCCAGGACGCCCTGTACGGCGACATGGCCGGGACTCCGGCTCCGTTTGAAGGCCTGGAACAAGGCCCGTCAGTGGGAAACAGAGGCCCGGGCCCCTTCCAGTTCGGAGGCCCGCGGAGGCCCCTGCTGGCCCAGTTTAAAGGGCCCCGAGGAGGCCCCCCTCCCTCTCAGTTTGGGGGGCAGAGAGGACCACCCCCTGGCCATTTCGTGGGCCCAAGGGGGCCGCATCCTGGTCAGTTTGAGGGGCCCAGAGGCCAAGCACCAAATTTCATGCCAGGACCCAGGGGAATTCAGCCACAGCAGTTTGAAGAGCAAAGGGTGAACTCGCCGCCCAGGTTTGCCAGCCAGAGGGCCCCAGCCCCTCTCCAGTTCGGGGGCCCCCGGGGGGCCGCCCCTTTTCCCGACAAAAGCGAGCCCGCCCCTCCCCGCTTCCATTTTCAGGGCCCGTCCCCTCAGGGGGCGAAGCCGGCACCCAGGCCCCTGCTGGAGCTGCCCAGCCACCCGCCCCAGCTCCGCAAGGACCGGTGGGACGAGGCCGGCCCAGCGCCCACCCTGCCCTCCGGGGGGCCCGGCCCGGGCCCTGAGGCCGAGGCGCAGTGGGCACCGCCCGAGTTCCGGGAGGGCAAAGGCCCCGACTACAGAAGCCAGGCCGGCCCCAAGGAGCAGCCGCTGGAGGAGCCCGAGGCCCAGGGCGAGAGCCGGCAGGGCCGAGCCTTCGAGGACCGCCGGCGGGAGCGTGAGCGCGGCCGGACCTGGAGCCGCGAGCGGGACTGGGACCGCGGCCGCGAGTGGGACCGGCACCGTGAGAAGGACTCCTGCCGAGGGCGCGCCCGGGACCGCGAGCGGGACTGGGAGCGGAGCCGTGAGCGGAGCCGGAACCGGGACAGGGACCGGGACCGGGACCGGAGGCGGGACCGCGACAGGTCCCGCAGCAGAGACCGCGACCGCGACAAGGCCCGGGAGCGGGAGCGGGGCCGGGAGCGCAAGGACCGCAGCAAAAGCACGGAGAGCACGCGGGACCCCAAGGCGGAGGCCCCCGCCCCCCACACCTAGGCCAGGGCCCACGGGCACTTCCTGCTGAAAGCCAAGGTCGCAGGCCGTGTGGAACACGTCGTTCTTGAGATAGCTGTGAACCTAGATGAATAGAATATTCTGGACTTCCAAAATTACTGTAATTTTGTGTATAATGGTTTCTTACAAAATTTCACATCTTTACAATTCTGATGCTTTTTTAAAAACAACTAAAGGACTCAATATTTCCATTTAGAATTACTGAAATGGGAAAGTGTCTACACAAGCATATTGCTTTTTCAGATTATAAAGTTATCTCTTCCAATAACTTGACCGGGGTAAATGCTAAGGGAACTCCGCGGACCTCAGAGCCGTACCTCCGGTTGCTGACATCTCACCCGTACCCCCAGGCTTCCAAACGCTGCCCGGCGGGGCGGGGCCGAGGCGCTGGCGCGGGTGCCGGTGCCTCGGGGGGCAGGGCTCCAGAATGTTGAGAAACACACCTGCTGATGGGGTTTCCTTTTTTTCCTAAAGAAATTTGAATGACAGGTTTCAACCAGGAAACAACACGTTGCTTAAGTTTTGCCCAGTTTTTATATATCACCTTAAATTTTTTTTTCCCCAAAAACACAAAAGCAACATCTGAGTACAAATTGTTGCATTTTAAATAACAATTTATTGAAAAAGGCTTCAACTTTACCAGCCTCAAAATGAGAAGATAAACCAATTAAGTGTACTTTAAAAGGGGGGGGGGGGTTCTCGGATTTCCATAATCAGGAACACTGTGTGTGTGGAACGTCACCTTTGCACAGTTCCAACGTCCCAGGAAAAGTGCGCCAGCCCTAAGCTGTTAGGTTCGTCAGGGTTAAATTTTAAAGCTTGTCTTTGGAAACGAAGGACACCCGTGTCAAGTCCGAGGCAGGCAGGGCAGGATGAGCTCAGGAGCCTCCCGGCGTTCACTGTGAGACACAGCTCGCTGCCCCTTGTCACGCCCGCGTCCCGTCCTGGAGTGTGAAAGAGAGAAAACCTTGCTAATTTATTTGACTGTACAAATACACTTTGATAATTTTTTTATATTTTCATAAACTTTTGCAAATGTAAACGAGAGGTCTCCTCTGTTCTCCGGGTCTGTTCTTGGTTGCGCATCGCTGCCGGCCGCCCGCCCGCCGGCAGACGCGGGCCAGCCGGGCGGGGCCTCCCTCCCTGCGGGGGCGGCCCCTGTCCCTCGGCCGTGGGGTCAAGTCCCAACACTGATCCGATGTGGAGGTTTTTTTACATATAAAACAGATTTTTCTAATTTAAATACACAAATGTAAAAAATCAAGTGTGTTTCTTTAGGTTTACTTGATAGAATTTTCTGTAAATTGTATTTTATATGGCAAAGTATTATATCACTGTCCATTAACACATGGAACTTGGTAGGTTTTGTTACTTGAAGTAGAATAAACATCGACGAGGCTTTCTGTCCGTGTGATCGCGTCCTCTCCACCTCGGGAGCTCGGGGCTGGGCGGGCACGCAGTGGCCACGGGCAGGGGGTGATCTTTGACCCAGCCCGGGCCCCAGCTCAGGGGTGAGCCCACTTCATGACTGGCGCCCAGATGAACCGGCCTTCGGGGGCTGTTCCGGCCGCTGCCGGCGCGGAGCTGGGCGACCTCACTTCCGGTCTCGGGCATCAGGGCAGGGAGTCGGGGGCCACCCCGGGAGAACAGGCGGGTGTGAGGTCAGAGGCTGACCAGGGGTGGGCGCCGCGGGGCCTGCAGGCGGCGCGTGGTGGGCGCACTTGGCGGGAGTTCACCCCCAAGGCTGGGCCGCCCACCTGTGGTTTAAAGGGTCCCCCTGCCGGGGGCGGAGGGGGGGAGGCGCAGTTGGGGGCCCGGGTGGGTGCCTGGAGCGGGTGCGGACTGCAGCCGAGCAGGGGCGGGAGCGTGGGCGCTGCCCTCGAGCCGCAGGCTGGTCGACAGCTGCACGCAGGCTGACCGACAGCTGCACGCAGGCTGACCGTCTGGTGACCCTCGTGCCGCTGGAGTTGAGCTGCCCCCGGGCACGGGGGTGCACAGCCTGCTGTGAGCTGGGACATGGAAAAGGGGCGTCCTTGGGCGAGGCGGCGACCCCGCCTGTCCGGGTTGCGGCCGACCAGCAGGGCGGCCCTGAACCGGTGTGCGCCGTGGGGGTCTGCGAGGGGGCCCCGGTGTGGGGCAGCGCCCGCCGTCTGCAGACCACTGTCCTAGGAAGGTGCCAGGAGACCCTTCAAGGTCCTCGAGAGCCGGCTGCCGGTTTGGGGAAGCCCCGACCTTGGAGGCGGCTCCCGTAGCTGAGGTTCTGCCAAGTGTCAAGGCCGGGTCCGCAGGCCCCCAGCCCCAGACGGCTGTCGGGACACGTGCCAGAGGCCGCAGGACGCGCCTGCCGGGAAGCCGCACTCTGCACATGCGCATGACACTCTCCGTGTCCGGCTGCCCGACCCCCCGGCACCCGCTCTCCTCCGACAGGGGCCCCACCAGGTGCCAGTCAGGGGCGTGGCCTTCCAGGGACCTGGCTGGTGAGGGGCCCTGCCCGAGGGCTCGGCCCAGGCCCCAGCAGCTGCGGCTGCCCGTCGTGGGGGTCCCGGGGGCTGCCACTCGCTGCCGCCACTCCTGGTCCCTGTGCTTCGGCCACCTCGCGCCGCTGTGAGGGAGGAGGACGTGGCCGTTTCGCCAGAAAGCTCCAGGGCCGGGGCCTGCGCCCCACCCAGCAGCCCAGGGAGCTGCGGCGCCACGGTGCCTGGGAAGCGGGCCCAGCGGGGAAGACGCTATGGCCCCGACACTCGGCAGGGGCCCGGGCCTGCAGCGCGGACGCCTGCGGGGCCGCCTGCCACGCTGTCCGCGTCCCACGTTCAGGCCGGCCAGGCTGTGTCCAGGGCCACCTCCTGCCCGGGAGGACATCGGGGGTGTTAGTAAAAACCAGGAGCAGCCCCGGCGGGCGTGGCCCAGGGCTAGGACAAGGGACATCGACTCAGGACAGAGACCCTGTTCTAAGGCCAGTTTCCCAGGAATAAAAAAACTTCAGAGGCGCCCAGGGCGAGGACAAGGGACGTTGAGTCATGACAGAGACTCTGTTCTGAGACCGGTTCCCCAGGAATGGAAAAACTTGAAGCGCCCAGGGCTAGGACAAGGGACATCGACTCAGGACAGAGACCCTGTTCCGAGACTGGTTCCCCAGGAATGGAAAAACTTCAGAGGCGCCCAGGGCTAAGACAAGGGATGTTGACTCAAGACAGAGATCCTGTTCTGAGACTGGTTGCCCCTCCTTTCTGGAAAAGTGTTGAACCCAGTGAATCAAGAATGCACGTGCGCAGAAGGTGCTCCAGGACCCCTGCGTCACTACAGCAGCCTTATAATATATTAGCCTTGTGGGACCTGGTGGCCAATCAAGGAAAATCCTGGCAGTAGTTTTAAAGTAACATAACTACTTGCACATGCACAATAAAACCCACCAAAACCAACCAGGAACCAGCGTCCTGGAAGGACAGATCCCCTCCGGGCGCTGAGGCCCAGCTCTGCCGCTTCACCCACCACTCGCTCACTCTCGGCTATAAACTCGCTGCGGGCTCGGTTCAGCCCTCGGTCTGCCGCCCCCACGCACTGGGTTGCCGTGCCCCCGGCGGCGGCAGCTGCTGGTGAGCCAGCGAGGAGAAGACGCCGGAGCCCCCTTTGCTGCCCGGGTGCCCTTTCCCACTGCCGTCTGCTGCGTTGTGGTGAGTCTCATGCTCCCCGAAGGGAGGCCGGCCGCTCAGCCGCAGGCACAGGTCGGCCGGTGAGAGCGCCGAGGGCGCCGCCGCTTGGAGGCGCCCGTGGCAGGAGCCCCCAGGCGCAGCGGACGGGGCTGGCTCGGCCCCACCAGGTGCACGAAAACGCCCGCTCCCCGGTCGGGCACGCAGTGAGAACGGCCAGACAGCGCCCCGCCCTGCGGCTGCTCCCCCGGAGGCGGCGCGGTGTGAGGTGTGTCAGTCGCTGCCTCGCCTGCACGTGACCTCTGCCGGCAGCCCCCTCCTCAGGCCCACGGGCCGTCGGTCACGCGTGTCCTCCCCGGCCGGCGTTGGCCTGCACCCCTGCGCTCGTACCCCGCTGGCCTTTTGTGTGGGAGGGGTTCCTGCTGTCTTTGCCCCCAGAGCACCTGCCTCGGGGCGGCTGACAGCCCCCTTGCTGAGTGTAGCTGCAGGAACGAGTCGCTCCTGTCCTGGGCATGTACACTCTACCGTGGTTGGCGGCAACACTGGCCGGTGCTGCTTGCCAGGCGCCTGCTGCTGGTCGCTTGTTACCAGAAATGGCCAAGTGGAGCCACTGATAACCAGTTAGTTGAATTCAAAATTCTAAGGCGGCTTACTTGACTCTCTAGGGGTGTTTTAACTTCCCTTCTTGGCCCATCATCCTGCTGAGATCCAGGAGGAGGAACAGGAGCCTTTGGACACCTCTTGACGTCCCTTCTGGGGAAACGTCTGGCTCAGGTACAACGTCTCAAAGCTCTGGAAGGACCAGAGAGAAGGATGCCCGAGTGTCCTCTTTGGGATTTGGACAAGAGTCATTTTACAATGAGGTCGTCTTGGGGCCCCCTCGGTGGTTCACGGGGCCACCAGCGTTTTGACTGCTGGGTCCCAGCGATTATCACTGGACGGGCCCCTTCAGCGCCGCCTGCCACCAAACGGCGGCTCCGCTCCTCCTCAGGGCGGCAGGGTCCTGCAGGGCCTGGGTCCCCGACGCGGGGCTAACACCCCAGCCTCTGTACGCAGCCACGAAGGGGGCAGACACCGAGCCCACTGTATGGGAGAAGGCATGCGACCGGGCTTTTAACGAAATCAGCAGGCCCGGTTGAGGCCCCGCCTTAGGCATCCCGAACTTTTTCTTTCTTTAAGTATATGTATGCGTGCGTTTTTTAAAGATTTTATTTATTTATTTTTAGAGAGAGAGGAAGGGAGGGAGAAAGAGGGAGAGAAACATCAACGTGTGGTTGCCTCTTGTGAGCCCCCTGCTGGGGACCTGGCCCGCAACCCAGGCCTGCGCCCCGACTGGGGATTGAACGGTCGACCCTTTGGTTCCGCTGAGCCACGCCAGCCGGGGAGGGATCCTTGACTTAAGGCTTTCTCTCTGTACAGAGCAGAGCAGCAAGGAGGAGCTTTAGGGACCTCAGTCCAACACCAGGGAATGAACCTCAACCGGTTGCATGTTTCTCTCAAAATCTGGAGACTGTAGCAGCCGGGGGGGCCTCCGAGCCTAAGAGCAGCCGCAGCCGCGGCCATGCTCACCAAGGAGGCTGCCAAACTCGCTCTCAGGCAGGAGCCAGACCTGAACTGCACAGCAAGCACAAGGCGCATCGGGATGAAAGCGCGTCTCTGGCCGAGAGGAGACAGGCCGGCCAGACGCCGGGCCCTCCCCCTGGACAGTCCCGAAGCGGCTGCAGAGGCCTGGGACACCGCGAACCCAGCCTCC